GGCATCAGAGCGAGTTATTTATTTTATATTTGTTTTAGATTATATATCTTATGGCTCTTTTATTTTAGAAAGTGGAAATTCAAAACCCTGGGTTAGACCATGACAAGAAAAGACTAGATATTTTAGGAGTTCAAAATAGAAGGTTTTTAAGATTATTCTTTTGAACGAAGAAGATACCAAAGTTCGATTATAAGATGTAATCGAGAATTCACACTGCTTAAAGTGAGATAAGTTATGGTTGTTAAAATCAAAATCAAGTATGTGTGCATGCTTGTCTATATTCTAGCAAGCCATAAACGTAATTAAAAAATCCGACATTCATTTTTTATAGTATTTCGCACAATTATGACATGATAATGCATGCAATGATGCTAGGATAAATGTGGTGCCAAAGAGTGGACTTACAAGCAACCGTGACTTTTGATCTTGCACCACAACTTTCACCCCACTTCAAAAGTAAATCTTCAGCAGTTGTATCATGTTTCCTCATGACCATTTCATCAATATTCTGATCTGCAAATGAGTTTATCCTAGCAATGGTTTCATTCTGCAACACATTCAAAGCTTTCATTTCATTGGGATTAGCAGCAGAAATCACAGATTTCAGTATTTGAAGTACTGCATTTAAGGACTTGAGCTCATTTATTTGACTGAATGGTCCAAAATCATCATCCTCGATGAAATAAATTTCTACCTGCATGAGACCATAAAAACTGTAGTAAGAACAGTCAACAATGCATGCTCAACAGATCGTATGCATAATTTCCATGAAAAAAGAAAATGTGCGTGAATATAGGAAAGTGGCATGACCTACATCATTCAGATAAAGTATCCGTGCTGCTCCAACAATATCATTCAGCATTAACAGCAACTCTTCTCTCGGTGAAGGTAGCAGTAACTGAAAATTGAATTCAAGGTTCCTGGCATGTGACAGCCTCTACCAGTGAAGACAGAATCGAATAAATAGCATGAAGAAAAAAAAAATATGGAATAAAGATGTTCTTAATGATAAATGCACATAAAAACGAAGATGTTTAATATGAGTGTGACATTAACTTAGATGCCACTTGGAATCACTTTTGTTTTATGTTTTCCAATTTTTATTTTTATTTTATTTTATTTATGTTTTGATTTGAA